GGGAATCTGAGGGTGCAAAAAAATCTAAATACTGAGAAAATCACCTTTAAAGTTGTCCAAATTAAGTTTTTAGCAATGCATATTACTAATAAAAATTTAGTTTTGATATATATTTATGGTAGTAAATTGACAAAATATCTTCATGGAACATGATCTTAACTTAATATCCTAATGATTTTTGACTTAAAAGAAAAATCGATAATTTTGACCCATACAATGTATTGTTGGCTATTGCTTCAAATATACCCCAGCGACTTAAGACTGGTTTTGTGCTCCAGGGTCACATATTATTAATCACATTTACAAAGGTCACCAAGTTTACCAAACTGAAATGTTCTCAAAAAGTTAAATAATTGAGTATTAGAAGTTTGTCTATACATTATTGCCATTATCCATGCTTCTTTACACTACACTATGAGTCCTGTCCTTTATTAACTTATGATTTTACATGAACTACAATAGGCCTCACTATAGTATTTTTCGACAAAGTGTGATTATCATGGTAAATGTGTGATTAAAGTAATTATAAACAGTGACAGTTTATGCACTAAAAGAACAAATGTAGACAGGTTTTGATTTAGCTTACAGTATGAGGCTACAGGGACAGATAGGCTATTGGTGATACAAACAAATGGCTATGTGAGGAAATTGGAAACTCCCCTGGTATTTTGGCTGCAGTGCAGCAGATCTCTTAGGACAGGTCAAAAAATGCACTATTAATCTCAGTTACCTGAAGCTGAATGGTCATATGGCTTCACCTCGGTCTGACTGCACACTTATACAAACTTATACACACGCTATACAAACTACAATTGTCTCTATATATTTATCCATGCCTCAAATTTTAGTTACCTATCTCAGCAACAAGCCTATATATGATGCTCTAAAATGCTCTCTAGGTAGACAGCTCATGGTTTTTGAGAGGCAATCAGTGAATCTGATACTCACACATCTCAGTATATACAGAGGTTGACATTACCTGGTACCTAGGAAAAGTCAAAGTAATGTGACCAGAGGGCTGTCGACAAGATGTAGATTTTGTCTAACAGACGGCCAGGTCAGCATGAAAACCACGTGTCTTACAGATTAGATACGGGCATAGTTGAGTCTCTCTCTCGCCTGGCAGTTGCTGTATCATTGATTTAATGCTGAATGAACGCTGACTCTTGAGCGAAGCTGCGAACCACGAGCATGACATGAAATCGCGGTGATGTGTCTGGTGCTAATATTTGGAGGCAGCATTTAATTCCGTTTCCAGAGCAGACTATTTTTAACCTTAACGTTTCTGCTGGATGCGATGTCCTATCTGAACCCCCGGGGAAGAGAGCTCGAGCGTTTTGATGGACTATCGCTTATTTACTGGTAAGAATTGAATATGCTTGTAGAGTTGTGCATGCCGTCTATTTATTTTTCTTTGTCATTTCAGGCATTAAATGGACTGTAAACTGTAATATTCATATAAAGTCTCAAACTGTATATGTAACAAGATCAGCGTTATTAAAGAAAAGCATGGAGTAGGCTACATACAGTAGGTTCGCATAACGTTCTTAGCGACGAGGTCCCGCTGTTCCAAAGAGAACAGGTATCTGTGAGCTTTTTCACATTGTCAGATTTTTTTGTGGCATTGGCAACTTTTGATAAATGAAAGAAAGAGTCGCTTCAAAAACGGAGACCTCAAGTTCGCACGCAACAAAAGCCTGTTGTTATTCAACCAAAAAGTACAACTGACCAAAAAAAAAAAAAAAAAAACCTTTGTCATGTTGCGTTTATAAATAGCCTATACGTACAGTAGATGAAGTTAAACGTATCTTTATGGTGCTTGTTTTTTGCAAGCACAAGGGATTTTTGATGGCAAGAACCCCAAATATGCTGATTCCCCCGCCTATATAAAGGCATAGCCTAATTATATTTTCATAAAGACTTATATGTACTGAAAACTCAAGTATTAAGCCTGATCTAATATAGTCAATATTATTCATTCAACTTTATTTCCAGACTCAAGGTCCATTAGCAAGAAACACACAATACAAACCAGTACAATACACATTTAAAAAGACAGTTATTGTTGTCCAAAATTAAATAATTGTTGTAAATAACTTATGTTGTTAGTATTTTAATTGTCAGTATATTAAAGAAATGATTTAATATCTGGAGGATATTTACTTTGTATATTTTCTACCCACTATTAGAGTAATGTAAAATGTTTAAACCTTTGAAGAAGGTGTGTTTTCAAAGTACTTCAGATGACTTTTCAAAGTAGGTTTACAAATACTTATTAAAAATCGAGGCTGTTATATGAATAATGTGTATAATGTGAATGTATAGTGATTAAAAGTAATTTAGCCTAATGATTTCAACCAGTATTTCGAAAGCACAAACAATACATTCAGCTAAACATGTTTCATCAAAATCTTAAGTTAACAAAATAACTTTGACAGCCCTAATTAGTTTTCTCTCTCTCAAAATTTCTATGGATGCCTAAGCACCCCTTTGCGGTGTTTTAAGTACAATATGGCAGAGATTTTTTGCTTGTTTGCATCTAAAGGCATTACTCAAATGTAGATAAGGTGTACATTTAAGGTGAGTAAGGAGAACAGGCAATCTGTCACCTTCTGAAGGGTTTTAACACAGCTTACGGTTGCCAGCAGCCTTCAAATTCATATGGAAATCAATGAGCACATGTGATTGACACGTGGAAGCATTTCTGTGAGTGTTTTTGAATATTTTACTGATGGCACATTTATATTATAGCCTTAAAAGATAAGAATAGCTAACAGTGTGTGTACCTGAGAATGAATATGCCCGGTGACGTGCTAAATTTAGAGTTTGGTGACCGGGACTTGAATAGACTATTGGGAAGAGTAGGAGACTTAGAGAAGTGATGCCGTCCCATGACCTGAAGAGACAGTCTAAACATCACAGCAGGTCACCGGAATCGTGGATATTTACTTCTTTTTTTTTTGTCTTTTAATGTTGTTTAATTGTACATTTAATTTGTACTTTAACTTCATAATGTTGGAGAATTGTCACTTTTTATCACCTTCATTATAATTTTATCACATTAATATCAATAACTCAAATGTTATTTATTCTATGCTAAAATAGAAAACTAAGGAAACGTGTATATTGCATGCACTTGAGAATATGTGTAAGAGTAACACCATAAAAACGTGTGTGTAAATCATTGATCTGATCATGGAGACGGTGTCTGTATCTCAGCATTGTGAGCAATGTGTTCAAATAATACAAAATTAACTTAATCGCTTAAAGATATTTGATTGACGCTGTAGTCAATCATCTCATCCTCACACACCTGTGATGCTTGTGCTGCAAATAGCATAGCAAATTAACATTTTTAATAGTGACTTGACAAATAGTGACTTTATTTACCATTATTTTTTACCTTTAATCAGTGCATGGTGTTTCACAAACAGGGCATCGTTGTTCATTGCTGATGTTGCACTTGGAAAATTATTGCATTTCTTTTGGCTTTGACTTTCTGATTTGAAACAAATATAAACCAACCACAGGAGAGGATTAGCTGTGAACAACATCATGCTTCCGGTTTGTGTTTTGTCCAGTTTTTGCAGAATGTGTACCCCGTGTAAAGGTTTTGGACCTGTGTGAAGTTTTTCAGGAAAGGGCTCCCTCTACCACAGGGGTGTCCAATCCAGTCTTGCTCCTGGAGGGCCAGTGTCCTGCAGAGTTTAACTCCATCTCAGATAGACACACCTGAACCAGCTAATCAAGGTCTTAATGGGCATACTAGAAACCTCCAGGCAGGTGTAACAGGCAAAAACCTCAACAGGCAAGTTGGAGCTAAACTCTGCAGGACAGTAGCCCTTAAGGACCGAGTTTGGACACCCCTGCTCTACCATGAAGCTTCAGTTTTTGTGTGTGTGTGATGTGTTGTGTGTGTGATGCATGAGTCTGTGACTGTTACGTGAATATCTGTGGATTAAATACTTGACAGCATTATACACCGAAAAAATTTATTTGAAACAATTTTCACTCAGAAATTACTTGTAAATTTCACAAATAATTAAAACAATCAAATAAAATAAGTAATTTATACATGAAATTTTAAGTTGAAAAACTTTAGTATATTCTTGTGAAATGTACTCAAGTAAACTGTTTAAAAAAATTTAAATAAAAAAATATAAATAAAGAAATCAAATTACAGTGTATAGCACACTATGTGCCTGCTACAGCTAATGAGTAGAATCAAAAGTAACATTTGTGTTGAATGTGACCTTTTTTCTCTGGATTATAGAACAGACACAGTCAGCTGAGACACAAAATTATATGTTTTTAAGACGTTGTTTTTATACTGTGTTAAAGGGGTCCTATTATGCTCTTTTACAAAGTCTTGATTTAGTTTTGGGGGTGTACTAGAACAGGCTCTCATACTAGGTTGTTCGACAACACATTATTTTTCACATATTTTACATTATTACAACACCTCTCTCCCCAGTCTGGCATGAAGGACTCGAATAGTTCCTGTATCAAATGAAGGCCCGCCTTTTGAAATACAAAATGTGCTGTGATTGGTTAGCTGGGCCAGTGTGTGCTGTGATTGGTTAGCTGGGCCAGTGTGTGCTGTGATTGGTTAGCTGGGCCAGTGTGTGCTGTGATTGGTTAGCTGGGCCAGTGTGTGCTGTGATTGGTTAGCTGGGCCAGTGTGTGCTGTGATTGGTTAGCTGGGCCAGTGTGTACCAAATACACAAAATAATGTTCTTTTTAGCAGCATCATATGACCCCTTTAAACCCGGATGATTGTAACCACTCTAAGTTCGTCTGCCTTGGGAAAGCTAGCGTGTCTCTGACATAGTGATAACACTCATTACCAGGTCTCGTCCCATTCGTCGATCTTTGTGATATCACAAATCCCGGAAAATGTGCGTTGTAGTCCAAACGAGTCGTTCGTTGTAGTTTTTGAAAAGTTAAATATTCTGTTAAATAAAATATCTCCTTTTGAAGTGGACTTTGAGCTTTGTAACTTTGCGGATCTTTTTTATGCTCAAACAGCAACATTACAGACTAACTAAAGTTGAAAAAGTGAAAAAGCATAATAGGACCCCTTTAACACTAATAAATCTTTATCTGCATGGCGCCTTTTTTATTGATTTTGTCCCATGTTTTTGGTAGTAGCTATTATCAATGAATCAACATCACATTTTTGCTGACTTAGCTGATTTTTTTTTTTTCAATCAGCCTTGTTAGTCTCGGCATTGCCTAATAATGAGGTCTTGTTAACTGTTTTTTTGTGTCAGCTTTGTTGTGATTCATTGATTTCTCTGCTTTTAGCTACACTGTTGTTAGAGATTCATTAAAAAAGGCATGCTTTTACATTAGTTGACCTGCCAGTAGAACAAAGATTTAGTGTTAGTGTTTAGTGTATCTAATTACCAGGAAAAAGTATATTATTATTAAATTTCTAAACATATTTCTAATTATATACCTATATTTAATATTCAGAGTTCATACACCATTATTGTTGTTAAAGAAGTTTGAATTTATTAATCTGTTGTATTTTTGTCAGATCAAAATATATTGTGATTTTTTTCTCCTCTCTGCTTGCAGCAAAAATTAGACCATTAATAGACTTGTTGGACCAAAATCGTCTCATTAAATTGCAATTCAATTAAATTCAATTCAAGTTAATTTGTACAGCGCTTTTCACGATACAAATCGTTGCAAAGCAACTTTACAGCAAATTAAGTTTCTACAATATTTAGTGGTAGCTTATCAGTGGTGACTGTCAGTTAATGTACATAAAATTCTGATGCAATGGGTAGTTGCCATGGCTGCTGGAAGGAAAAGGGATAGTATGCATGCGTGTATTGTGGTTTAGTGCATGTATGTGTATGTATGTATTTGCAGTCAGAGACACTAATACATATTTGTACATATATATTTGTAATTTTTTTTTACATACATATTTTTGAGTGGTTGACATGATTTGCCTTTTCTGTGTTCTCAGGGTGTCTAAATTGTCTTATTAAATATATAATTTAATGTTTAAACTTTGCTTGAACAAATATTTCAAATATTGAGTTTTTTCAGACTAAAAATGTAAACAATTTTCAGTAAACGAAATAATAATTAATAATTTAACAAATTCGAATTTAATAACTAAAATCTAAAATAAAGACTGATATTTAAAGTAGTACACAATCTAATAGGTAGAAAATTCAATTTATTGTTAGCTTCCGGCTTTTGCTGTATCCCTTCTAGCCACAACCGCTGTCTAACGTACACGATAACACTGAAACCGGAGTTTTTGAAAAACGTCACCCTGGCAGGCGTTTTCAAACATGTTCGGTTTCAGTGACCAGTCTGGTGCTGCATTTGCGTGTGGA